AAACCCAACTTCTCTGCTAAAACTTCTAAGACTTTCGTCCAATCTTCTATCACCCTTTCTGCCACTAAGACCACCCTCTTCTCCCAGCTCCCACTCCCTTCTTCCAATGCTACTCGTCGAAGGACAGTCGAGCTGGACACCAAGACTTAAGGGTAAAGCTTTGAGCTGGGCACAAAACAAACCTTCGAGCCAGGGGCTTCTTCTACTCTACCTTCGACCTCCAAGAGAAAAGCCTGAAGATTTGAAGCGAAAGAAGCCCACCCTCTCTGCTTCAGGCCTTCTGGAATACACATCACTTGCTTTTTGTTATTACCAAAGAGTTCAGTGACCATTATGAACCACCCTTTTCCATTCCTTTTTAGCACAGATTCGAACCTCTTGTTCTCACAGGTCAATGAGTTTCTCCAACCTTCTTCCCGAAAGGAATTTACAGTTCCATCTACAAAACCTTTCAACCACACACAGGCCTCCTCTAGTAGGAGAATAGACGCCCTGCTCCCTTCTCTGATTTTCAAGAGAGCCTTCCCCTTTGTCCTTCCCTGCTCAAACAGGAAGGATTTGGCTTCAATGAACAACTCCAGTCTCCATTTCCCCGCCAGCTTGAACTTCCTCTCCTCTCCCATACCTCCAACTCCCCTTTTGCCCAAAGTTTTGAGTTGTCCATCTCGAATATGGCTCTTTTGACTTCCTACTCAAAATCCATCTCCAAGGCACTTACCAATGCCCCCATCAAGGTTTAGCTACTCAAAACCAAGAAACATAGCTCTTGGAGGAGGGGAAACTCCGTAGGTTCCTTTGAAGTGATCAACAAGTATGTTTGCAATTTCATCCTACTTTATAACCACCTCATCCTCAACCACTATTTTAATAATGAGCTCATTCTTGTTTTTAGCTTCAATTAGCCTATGGAAGTACCTGGTATTGCCATCCCCTTCTTTTATCCATCTACATCTTGTTGCCTTCACGAGATCTCCTCTCTCCTCAAAAGGTCATTCAACTTCCACTTGAGGATCATCCACTATCTCTCCCCATTAATCAAATCTCATTCACCCTCTTTTTGGTTAAGATCTTCAATTTGCACTAGGGTTCTAATGTTCTATTCTTCTTTTCACCAATTACCCCAAAAACCTCCTTATAGATATTTCCACATCCTTTTTGTGGAATTTCTGGAATGTACTTAGGACATTCTAAACAACCCCAATACTATGAAGAGGGAGGATTGGTAGTTGGACATCTAAAAGAGAAAAATACCTCTCTTTTGAGCAAATGGCTTTGGAGATTCTCTTTAAAGTCCAATGCTCTTTGAGCAGCTTCCATCTCAAGCAAATATGGAACAAGTGCAAACGGGTGGGTTAGCAATCTTCATTTGAACCGGGTAAAGACTTCAAATCCTTGGAAAGGTATAGCCTCTTCACACTCTTTTTTCCTTCCTTTCATTAGATATAAAGTGGGAAATGGTAATAAAATAAAATTCTGGAAAGACCTCTGATGGGGGGAACTCCACCTTAGGAGAATCTTTCCCTAGACTCTTCAATCTTTCTTTAGATCCAAACTCACCTGTCTCCTCTTGTCTTCCTAACCTTCCTACTGATATAATTTGAACCTAAACCTTAGAAGACCCCCAAGGGACATAGAGATATCAGACCTCATGGACCTCTTTCACACCATTAAAGAAGTCTACACCTCCCCTCTCTCCATTGACACCCGAGTGTGGACCCTCCACCCAAATAGTGATTTTACTTCCAAATCTATGTTCAAGGCTCTAACTATAGGTGAACAAAGTTCCTTTTTCCCTTTCAACAAGATTTGGTGCAGTCACATCCATCAAGAGTCTGTTTCTTTGTTTGGGAAGTGTGCCTACATAGAATAAATACCTGTGACCTTCAGAAAAAAAGTTTGGGAAGATCCTATATTTCTTCTCATGCTTGTCTTTTATGCCTTAAAGAAGGTGAATCAGCTGATCATCTACTCATTCATTGCAATTTCACTCAAAAGATTTGGTGTCATTTCTTAAACCTGGCTGGTTACAATTGGGTTTTTCCAAAGCATATTCAGGAATTTCTTCATCAATGGAAAGGTTTAGGCCTGAGCAAAAGAGGTAAAGTTTACTGGCAAACGGTGCTACATATAGTTCTGTGGGGAGTTTGGGAGGAAAAAAAAAACAGGCATTTATTCAACAACAAAATCAGATATCTTGAAGAGTTAATCTCAGATATCTCCTTTCATTGTAATCTCTGGACTGCTAATTCTGAGCTGTTCCAAGGACTCTCTCTCAATGATCTCAACAGAAATATCCAAACAATTTTGTTTCTTCCAATCTACCTTCGATCAATCCAGAGACTGCATGTACCTTTTAACGAAGGAGGGATGACTTTAAAACTCAACGGAAGTGCCACACGCAATCCTGGTGTAGCTGGGATTAGGGGTATTTTGAGGGATGAACTGGGTAACATCTGTTAGGTTTTCAGTGGCCCAATCAGTTATGCTGGCTCAACTAAGGCTGAAGTGATGGCTGCTCTCACTGGAATTAGAATAACAAAAAGCTTAGGCATTCAGGGTTTATCTATTGTAGGAGATTCAGCTAATACCATTAAGCGGCTCAGGACAAGGAGGGGGTCCTTGGAGGTTGAGTCATTATCTGGCTGAGGCAAGAGACTCCTTGGAAGGCCTAAACGCAAACTTGTTGTGGATACCGAGGGAGCTGAATCATATTCATAGTTGTCAAGGAGACGCCTAGGCAACAACGCTCCCTTGGAGGCTCGCCTCACCCAGTCGCCAAGTAATTTTGTGCACTATGTTATAAAATACTTTTATATTTTTAATTTTTTGACATTATAATTATAAAATAGGCATTATTAAACTAGAATACTCATTTTATGTGTTTATGTACTAATTTCTTTTTATTATTTTCTTATTTGTTAGGATTTAATCAACACAAACATTGATAACTGCTGTATTGAACCCATGGTTCAAAGTATCGATACACCTCTATGTATCTGAAGTGGTGTATCAGTACTTATAACGATACTCCCCTTATTTTTTTATTTCTTCGGTTTTCAATTTCATTTTTAAATAAATATATATATATATTATAATTTTAAAAAATGGGTTCTTGAAAATGCTTGTAAATATGTGTATTGAGGTGCCAAAGATACGATACAATACACCCAAAAACACCTGTAAACATGTGTATTCGTATTGAAGTTTTGATCCTTGATTGAATCCTCAAAGATTTCAGAACCTGAATCAATAAGAAAGGGAAGAACTTAAAATTTTGTCTAATCAACACATTTTCTTCTTACATATCTTCTTCTTCCACCTTTTCTTTTCTTCTTTCCTTTGTTCCTTTTCTTCTCATAAAATGTTGATTTTCCAAACTTAAAACATGAAATCTATACTTCTCTCATGAAAATTATGGATAATTATTAAGGAAAGATGATTATGGAACCTAGGGAACTGCCCTAGGATATATGGTTTTGCTTAAAAAATATCCATCACCTAGACTCGCCTTGGCGCCTTAAAAACTATGATTGCAGATGGATTAGCTAAAATTGGAGCAAGACTAGAGAATCTGTACAGCAATAGGCTTCCCCCATTGTAATCTTTTTTTTAGCTGTTTGGGTTTTCTTTTCACTGTGCTACATCTGCTCATGTACTCTCTGTTTTTTTCAATGAAATCTGGTTAACCTTTTTCTCAAAAAAAATGTTTGCAAAATGTCTAGTTAACCTCTAGCTAGTTACTTGAGTTTGTAGTGCAATTTCAGGAGGTTGGTGAACAGTCAAATTAGAGAAGATCATAGGCTAGGTCAACACTTTAGAAGTAGTGATCCCATTGACCAAATCAGGAAGCCATATAATGCATCATCCTTTACCATGTATGGGTGACCATAACTATTGCACCTGCCAATCAAATATTTATTTTCGATTGAGAATACAAGAGATAACATGAAGATGCATGAGGAAGGCATAGATATAGTCATAATCTTTAGTTATCAGTAACCAATTAGGAAACTCTACTGATGTATAAAAGAGAAGATACAAGAGGAAGAAAAAGCTCTCCTCCCTACTAGAACCCTTCAACGAGGAAGTAGGTAGCTTCAATCACCAAGTCCTGTGGTAGTATGGTATGAGAACAGTGGCAGGATCAAATTTGGTTGCAAAGCATTCCAAGGGAATTCTAGGGATGTTGGCAGAGTCATCTCAAGGTGGTGGGGGCTGATCAACAAGGTTGATGTCAATAGTTAAGAGGATGAAGAGAGAAGGGACAAATCCTCATTTGGAGAAAGCAAGGAATCACCAAGGGGTGGGTGAGCTCAGTAGGTTTGTTGCCACCAGATTTCACTCCAAACAGTCCTGTCAGATGCATCCTTCGTCAAAAGAAGACTCAAAGGAGGAAGGTAATGAGGAGATGGACTTGGATTAATGGATGGGGCAAAGAAGATTCTAGTTCACCACTAGGTGATGGCTAAGGAGTTAATATTCTATTTATGTTTCACATTTAAGGCATGTAAATGAGATTATGAGGGTATTTTAACAGTCTAGAAAAGGTCGTTTCTTAAGGGTATGGCAGTCTTTTCATTCTTTAAAATTGTAAACCATCATGTAACTGCCACCACACAAATATGAGCTAAGGCCAATGGGACTAGTATATCTGAATCCCATTTCCTCCGTGGGTGCAAAGATCCGCAGATGGAATTGTTGATGCTTTGGCTACACGAGGGGTAGACAATTAACAGCATTTTTGGGTTCAGAGAAGATTAACATGGCCCCTGTGCAAGGATGGCACGCACAAATCAAGAAATGGTCCAATCTTTTTTATCTGTCAAAAGATTGGGTTTAGATGTACTATAAATAATATACACAGGATAGGCAGTTGTTCTAGCCTATATAATGGAGCCATTGATTCACTTACATACATTATTCTTTCAAGAAACTGCAATAAAAAATTATCATTACCCATCAAAAAACTTGTGTGACTGAGTAGCAACAATATTACTTACCATTGGATAACACCTATTCCTTGTGTTTCTTCCCCACAGTATGATAAGTATTCATTGACTTTTTCACAGAACTCCCGACCTAACATGTTATCCAGTGCAATGTCAATGTCGTAGCAATCCTTGCCCAAAAGCTGGATGAGAAAAACTAATCAGATTGTAAAACAAAGAAATAATTTCACACCACTAAATGGAATTAGCAGATCCATAAGCAAGAAAGACAGGTTTATGCTATTATTGCACTCGCTTGATGCAATAATCAGCTTTTGCTTCCCATCATGCATCCACAAGAACATTCAAGCTTCTTTAACACATTATTGTTAACAAACAGCGCATTGAAAGGCTTGAAAAACAAAAATCTGAATGGTCAATTGAGATATTTATACAAATATTTTGTTTAGATGGCACTAGTTGTAAGTAAAGATAAAATTTTACAGAAAATGATGCCAGACCAACCCAAGAAAAGGTCATCCTAGACCTCATAGAAGTATTTTTGATAAATGTAGAGCCCCTAGAATTTTTCAAAAATAGTTATTTTTGTTTTAAAAATAATTCTAGGTAACTAAAAAGTTTATGTTTGAAATATAGAAATTCTCATAAGCATTGCTTTTCTCATGATTATGGACAAAGTAAATGACCAATCATCAACAAATCATAAAACTCAAAGAATTCCCCAGTTGAAAGAACAAAGAATAAAATAATGGTAAAATCTTGGGCTGTCAAGCGTGAGAGGGTTCCAGTCTGAGAGCAACCACTTTGTGCCAAAAAATGCCAAAGTTTAGGACCTCATCCAGTCCACCCCTCCCAAGACCCCAAATAGCTGGGACCAACATTTTTGTTTTTGGGGTAATGGCCTTTTCATCATTTGACATCAAACATGGCTCTTGATAGAGCATAATGGCAGTATAGGATTCATGTAGCCAACCCCAAATAGTTGGGGTTAAGGTTGAGTTAAATATAACCAGTCCATCTAAAGTTAAGATACCAAGACATGCATATCAAAATAAAAACTAATACAGTAAAAGGAGAACAGAAATCTTCATTCCCAAATTTCAGAATACCTATAATGGCTACAATTATGCTATTATATTCTACTATACAATTCAAACCTTAACAAATTCAGTGAAAATTATAATATCTTCAAAATTTTCTACTGTAAGATCTCCTCCATTCTACCATTAATAATGCATCTCCATCAAAACAAAGAAAAACTGAATTCTCAGGGTACTACAAACTTTATACTAGAAATACAAAAAAGTAGGCTTTCCTGCAAATCTCCAATAACTTGCATCGTATTATGTCAATACACGTTCCTTAAGAATGTACAATTAGTCGGGTAAGTAAATAATTGAGGTGAGTTCATTGCCCATTCAAACCAAAGCCCAAGAAATTCAATTCTGTATTCTCAGAGAAAGGAAACATATAAACTAAAATCGTCCACCTTATCCCGAACCCAACCGCCAGCGACTCGGAGCTGAGTCTGGAGATTAAAATGTTGAAGAACTTCGAGTAATCTGTGGAAAATCTGCTTCTCCTTCTCGACGAGTTCAATCTTGTCCTTCACATGAATGGGAGGCGAAGAAGACGCCATGGCTCTGTAGCAGAAGAGTCTGAGAACGGGAAGGCGCCTACTAGGGGGACGGAGGCTGAAGCGTCTGAGTTCGCAGAGAGAGGGAAGTGAGAGGAGTGGAAGTCGAAAGTAGTCTTTGCATGCGAAGAAACGATGAGCGTCCGAAGCAAGTTCTCTCATATTTAAAACGCAGGGAATTGTGCTTGTTGCCTCGCCTCTTTTAACAGGCAATAGGGATATCAACGGGTCGGGTCGGGCATGTACTCGATTCAACCCGGATAGGGGTGGAAACGAACCGAGCTATTCGAGTTCGGCTTGGCTCGGACCAAGTCAAGTTTCGAGCTGAATTCGAGCTCTATATATGGCTCAAACTCGAATAAGATATAGCTCAGCTCGTTAAGCTCGCGAGCCTAGTTGAGCCTATATATATATAGGCTCGCGAGCTTAGTCGGGTCGGGCATGTACTCGATTCAACCCGGATAGGGGTCAAAATGAACCGAGCTTTTCAGGAGCTATTCCAGCTCGATCAGCTCGGACCAAGTCGAGTTTCTAGCCAAATTCAAGCTCTATATATGGCTCAAACTCGAATAAGATACAACTCAGCTCGTTAAGCTCGCGAGTCTAGTCGGGTCGGGCATGTACTCGATTCAACCCGGATAGGGGTCGAAATGAACCAAGCTTTTCATGAGCTATTCGAGCTCGATCGGCTTGGACCAAGTCAAGTTTCGAGCCAAATTCAAGCTCTATATATGGCTTGTATCTTATTCGAGCCGGCTCAACTCGTTAAGCTCACGAGCCCATGTGTGTGTGTGTGCATATAATACTTATTATACACATTGCGTGCTTCTAGAATATATATCTTTGTTTGGTAATTACTCACGAGCCTAGTCAAGCTCTATATACCTTTGTTTGGTAATTGCATGTTTCTGAAATATATATATATATATATATATATATATATATGCTTATTATTTTTATTACGTGCTTCTCGAAAAAATCTTATTGGTGGGGATACAGATATATGGTGACCCCATTCACATTCTAAAGAAAGCAATTACCAAACAGAAAAAAGAGGGAAAAATCAATCAAACCAGCCAAAAACCCTTTCAATTTCAAGCTTCAACCCTCCCACTCCCTACGACTGCAACTCCGCGATTGCGATTGGCAACTGCGAAGCTGCAACCCTACCTCACCCAGTCACCCTCAAGCTCTCTCACTCTCAAACTCAGTCGAATCAACGCCTGGCGCCAGCGGACTGGCCATACTCACAGCTCTCAGCCAAAAACTCTTTCAGTTTCAAGCTTCAACCCTCCCTCTCCCTACAACTGCAACTCTATGACTGCAAAACTGCGGCCCTGCCTCACCCAGTCACCCTCAAACTCTCTCACTCTCAAACTCAATCGAATCGATGCCCGGTGCCGGCGGACCGGCCATACTCAAAACTCTCAGTCAAGTCTCAGCTCTTAGCCACTCAGTCTTCTTATAGCTGACGCCTGACGACTGACGACTGATGCGGTAACGCCCGACGGCATTGTTACCTCTCACCTCTCATAGTCTCAATCTCTCAGATTCTTCTTCCCGACGGTCCACTTGTGAGAGCCCTTCAAATGAAATATCGGCTTCAGTGCTTACACACAAAAAAGCTCGAGCTCGAATAGGCTCAGTTCATTATTGAACTCGAATATATGGTTTTTTCATTTGAGTCGAACTCGAGCTTGTACTTTTAGTTCGAATCGAGCTCGAGCCTTGTAATGTTATACTGAGCTGAGCTCGAATACCCAAATATTCAGCTCGGCTCAATGCTACAATGTTGTCAGGTCAAGCTTAGTAGGGGTTCACCTTAACATGAACCCAATCAAGATTGATCCAATCCTAACCCAACCCATTGGCATGACCAAACATGAAACTTCGAGTTATGCATTCAAGTTGGAAGGGTGTTGGAACTTGGAACTGTTTTATTGGTAGGAGATACCAACTCAAATAGAAGTTGGGGTAAAGGGCAATGGGCCTATTAATGATATATGAAAATCCAAGGCTCAGTGCGATTATCTCAAATTTGGATGATGTATTTATGTATTTGGATTGGATTTGGATGTTATAAACTATATCCAATTAATTAAAATCCAAATCCTGTTATATTTTAATATTTATTGATTTTAATATAAAATTTATATAATTATATTTAAAATTATAGAAAATATATTCTATATATTATAATATATATAAATTTATAGGTATAATAAATTCAATATATTGTATTTACATTAAGTTATTATTGTTGATGGTTAAAATTGGTCGCAGGGGTGAAGATGGGAAGTTGTTGGAGTAGGGTGTTACCTTGTCTCGGAGTGTCACCTCAGCTTGGCACCTCATCACATCGGCTACTAAGGGAGATCTACAATCAGAAGAGACGTTAGAGGCCCGGGTGATAGATATCCTAGAGGTATGGATTCCTATGGTTTAAGTCACTAAGGCCAAAAGAAAAGATAGTAAGCTAGAGAGCTTAGTGAGATGAGGTGAGAGCTCATGTGGAGAGCTAGAGAGCTAGAGAGCTCATGAGGAGAGCTAGTAAGTTCGGTGGGAGAACTAGAGAGCTCCATTTGATGAGCTGGAGAGCTCCGTGTGTTGAGTTGGAGAGCTCGTAAGGAGAGCTAGAGAGCTTCATGTGCCGAGAGTTGTGTCCAAATGAATGAGGGGCTCACCTATTTATAGGAGAGGGGCTTTATCCAAGAACTGATACATTTCTCACACATGATCAAAGCTCGGTCCACTTGTCGCACCCTCGGCTGACACGTTATGTGAACGTTGTATGCATGTGGTATGCGTTGGCATTGATGTTCTAATAAGCTTGACCACGCGTTTCTTATGCATTTTATGAACTGGTGTCAGATAAGCTCGTATAGACCAGGTCAGCTCGTTAGGACTGCGTCTTCTTATCAAGACCAGGCCAGCTCGTCTGAACCAATTCAGCTCATCAGGACCAGTTCGTCAAGACAAGTCAGCTCATAAGTTGACAACTTTGCCCCTAGTATGTTTCCACTTGGCAGTTTCTGACTGGTGATCGATTTCGGCCATATCAATTATATATAAAAGTTGAAAAAGTAATTAATTTTTTCTCTAGTATTTAAAAAAAAATTAAAGCGGAGTCAGATTAAATCCGAATCCAATCCAGAAGTCCATTAGGATTTGATTCAAATCCAAGGTCTTCAAATTTGATCAGATTTTGGATCAAATTCATATGTAGGTTTTCAATAGTTGGATTGGATGTGGCTTTTGCTGAATCTAATCCAAGTCTAATCTGACTACAACCCTAAAGGTTAATGATATAAGTTGACACGTATAATCAAATTTAAATTTTATGACTTGCACCAAGATGAAAGTAAGTATCCATTCTATATAGATATATATAGTGGGGACCCATGTGATGCAAGAACTTTGTTAAAAGAGTTTGAGACAAAAGGAGCTAGGGTCCAACTTGGTTGGGCCCAACTCAAGCCAAACTTGGCTCAACCCAAGCTTTTGCACAGGTGAAGATTAAGTTTTCAAACTTTAAGAAGGGCTTGGGCCAGAAAACTCAAGCCTAACCTAAACTTAAGTTGGGCTTGGGTTAAGGCCTCAGTTAGTTCAAGCCTAACTTGACCCAATTTGAAATCGCCCAACATTATATGATATACATATCTACACATTATCAATCTATTCTAAAAATTGGGCTACAAAGATCAACATGTCCAAACCCAAACCCAACACAAGATGTTGGATTAAGCTTGGGTTGGTAAACTTGGGCTTAACCTTGAGTTGGGCCAAGCTTGAGCTTGGGGCTTAAAACCTAGGGTTGGACCCTAAACCCAACCCAATCCACCCAAGTTGCACCCCAAGAAGGAGAATTGTTTTAACTTTTACTAAATTTTTTATTTAGTATTATTTTTTGTGATTTTTAAATGGATTAGGGGATTTTAAATTAATAATAATTAAGTTTAAAACTAATAATTTTGTTAATTTTAAAATTTTATCAACAAATTTGTAGTATCGTTTTATTTTTTAATGAAATTTAAATGGATATCAAATTATAAATTTAATTTTGAAACTAAAATTTCTACCTTAGACTGCCACCAAGGATTTTCACTAGGCGACAAGACTTCCTAGGTGCCAACCAAGCCTTTACAATTAGTAAGACTTCACAGGTGCTTGTAATACCTTTCCAATTGGATTTACATTGAATGCCAACAAGACCTTAATGGTGCTCAACAAAGTGAACACCTACTTGCTTAAGGATCTTGCACTAATAGCAAAGGAGCAAGTTTACAAAGCAAGAACAACCTCTTAATAGACAGATATACACAATTATATCTCAAATTAATCAGTTGCTAGAGTATTCACAAATGCTTAGCTCATGGAAGAGGATTGGAACATGAGTGAGAACGAGCTCAAAAGCTTCAAAAAATCTCACCTTTAAGCTAGATAAAGCCCAAGGATCTCCTCTAAAAATTTCTAGTACTTAGCTTTCTCTTTGTAGGAAACAACTATATACAATATATACAAGTTAAAACATAAGTTGCTTTTTACAAGCTTAATTTAAAACATGGCTCTTGCTTATTTTTAAATCAATGTCGAAACCTCTATTTATAGAGGATTGACAACAAGTAACCATTTTCTAGCCATTAGAGTGGTTTTATTAAGAAATTATTCAAATTTCCACCAACTTATTGGAAGGCTTTCCAAATTTAATAGTAACCATTGGAGCCTTCAAATGGTTAAATTTCTTTGTGGTAGACCACTACAATGTTTTGGTAGTCAACTACAACACAAATTGAGAATTCTTTTTATCCTTTTAATTGCTTGGTTCCGCCTTATTAATTAATTAGTAAGCTTGTGAACTCAGTTAGTTTGAGTAGTTGACACATCTTCTTAGGCTAGGCACTTGCACACTTTGGTTGCACAATTAGTTGACACATCATTCTGGATAGTTGACACATCCTCAAAGTTCTGGAAATGCAGGTCAGATTTCATAGTTAGTCGACACATTCTTATAGTCTTGGCAATGCAAGCCTTAGATGTCATAGTTGCTTGGCACATCTTCATAGGTAATCAATACATTTTCATAGTCAAGGCCAATTTGCA